AAATAAATAAATAAATAAATAAATAAATAAATAAATAAATAAATAAATAAATAAATCCTTTCTCCCTGAAGTTGATTTGGTCCAAGTATTTTATCACAACAGCAGAAAAGAAACTAAGATAGCTATTTAAAAGTAAAGTAAAATTTTGTAATTCGGAGAGGAAGTATGTCAGAAGGTAAGATCCTAACCCTCCCCTTAAATAGCTGACCAGTAACTGAAAGTGGAGGTCCTTGTTTCAGGGGTGTCTTAGGGTAGCCTCAGGTGGCCATAGATCCATGGGAGATAATTCTCAAGTCAATATACAGGGTCCCTGAGACCTTTTCAGGATAAATTTGAGGCAAACTGTCTCTTAAAAATACTAAGAAAATATTTTCCTTTTTGAATGTCAATGCCATGCTTTGAATCTAAAATGGCCCTAACAGACTCATGTTTTGAATCCCTAGTCCCAGGCTTGTGGAAGTATTTTGAGGGCCATGGAGCCTTTAGGAGTTTGGGGCAGGCTGATGAGAGCAGTTCAGGGAAGGCAGGCCTTTGAATGTGGTACCCACACTCTGCCATATGAATAGCCTGTTCCATGTTCATGCTGTCATGAATTTGCCACGCCTTCCCCTACAATTATGGACTTGAAATAGCTCTGCAACCATGAGCCAACATGTCCTCCTTGGCTTTAGTCAAACACTTTTGAAAAGAAGCCATACACTGTGAAGAAAAAGGAAAGAAAAAAAAAAAAGAAGCCATACACTGTCCTCCCATGCATCTCAGTGTCTTCATAGACTCTATCATGTAATATCAAAATGATAGAATGGAGCCATGAGAACCAGCTATTGAGGTAGACTTTGAAGAGATTTGCAAAAGTATAAAATAATGCCATTCTTCTAATTATTTTGTTATGTAAAATTATTTATTTTTATTAACATATATTCAGTGTACAAAATGATAGGTTTCACTGTGACATCTTCGTATATATATTTCATTGTGATATCTTCATATATGTATTACTCTGATATTACAACCCTATTATCCTTCTCTTGTTCCCCATGACTTACTGGAAAAATATACATAAATATAATCCAGTGAATAAAATTTCTTGGCATTCTTAGTAATTTTAGAGATGTAATTCCTAATTCCAAACTGTGGATTCATGACACATAAATATATAGATATAGGCTGTGGTGGTTTGAATGGGAATAGTCCCCATAGGCTCATATTTTTGAATACTTGGTCCCCAGTTGGAACTCTTTGAGAAGGATTAGGAGGTGTGGTCTTGTTGGAGGAACTGTGTTACTGGGGGTGGGCTTTGAGGTTTTAAAAGTCCATGCCAGCATTCCCAGATAGTTTTCTCTCTGCCTCTCTGTCTCTGTCTCCCTGCACCCCACCTATGGACCAAATGTAAGCTCTCATCTACTGCTCCAGTGCCATGCCTGCCTGCTTGCTGTCATGCCTGCCTGCTTGCTGCCATGACCCCTGCTATGATGATTGTTGACATACCCTCTAGAACTGTAAGCCTTATTAAATGCTTTAATCTATAAATTGCCATGGTCATGGTGTTTTGTCACAGCAATAGAAAAATAACTAAGATAAATACTTATGAATGAATAGATAGATATGACCATATATATATTTTTCTTCAGATGAATGGTGATGCAAAACATTATAACATTATAAATCTATCTGGCTATCTTGACCCTATCCTAAGGAACAAGAAGGAGTTTTGTACAACTTCACAGGTATCACCACCATTTTGAAAATGAAATTTGTCCCAGAAAGACAAAGTGATTTAATTAAGTCTCCTGAGTCCATGTTGAGATTGTTCCTCACTTACATGAAAGAAACATAGAATGCCCTGAATAGTGATTCCAATCCCTGTGTTGGGAGGGCTTGTTACAGATCTAAACCTCAGAGATTGGCAGCTCTGCCCTAGACAGAAACCAAGTAAATCACAGACCAGCTCCTCCCCTGACATTTTCCAGAGCTACTAAGATCATCTCTAACTTGTCCTTATAGGGGGACTACTAAGGAGCCAAAAATACATTTTATACTTAAACATTTCTGAGAATAGATTTTAAATATTGTCACTACAAAGAATGATAAAGATGTGACACTGAATATTGTGGCCAGCTTTATTTGGCTATTCCATATTGTATTCAAATATCAAAATATTATGTGGTATCTGATAAGTCTATACAGTATTTGAAGAGCCAAAAGTAAATACAAGAGACAGGAGACGTTGACATTTGGAGTACTCTGCACATTTGTATGTAATATTTCCTGTGTGGTGGTCTACATTTTGCTATATGCATTTTAAAGTATTCTTCTAGAATTTTAAAACATTAGGAGGCATCTCTAGGCCATCAGTGGGGCCCCTGAATTGTCCATCCAGGAAATGCCTCACTAAGGACAACTCGAGTCAATATATGTCCATGTATACCTGTTGGCACCACAGGATATTTCTAAAATATTAAGTCATGTCCTTGTAACCTCCTTACATCAATTAAAGGGAGTTAATCTGTTTTTTCCCCTTTAAATCAAATGATTCTCTAATTCCCAAGCCCCTTGTGCATGATGCCTAATTTGATAGTTAGAATATTAAGTCAACTGAATGATATTCTAGTGCAATGCAGCAGGTACAGATACCTGAGCATGCATTCAGCAAGCAGAATGTCTTTCCAGTACAAAAGGGAAGATGTAAAGAAGTACACATATCCATTTGAAACATGCTGCATTTTCAAAAAATACTAAAATTAAACATGCCCATTGAGCATTCTACATGATTTCTCTTTATTTTAATTTTTCATTGTTATCTGTTATTTTGTAGGGGGTTATGTTTGCCATGACATACATTTGGAGGTCAGAGGACAACTCTGTGGAGTCTGTTTACCCCTTCCCCTTTATGGTTTCTGAGGACTGAATTCAGAACACCAGGCTTGTGTGGCAAGAGTCTGTACCTACTGAGCCATCTGGACAGCCCAGCTACGTATTTCTTCACAGACATTTTAGCTGGTGTTTTAATCAATGTAGTTGTAACTCTTGTTTGGTTTTTTTGTCAGACCTGATATTTTACAAAAACTGCTATGATTCTTTAACAATATTCAAAGCTTGTAAGAGAGTCATTACAGAGATGTAGGGGAAGGTGGCTGATTAAAAAATGTAATCCATTCCTGTACTGGACTGAAGGAGTTCCGATGTCACAGCAAACAAAAAATACAAGGTTATAGGAGTCTTCTAAACACCAGGAAGCCTGAGCCCTCTGTGAGGTCCCCATTAAAACACATCACAACATGGAGAATCTCTTGTAAATTCACTTGCTTTATTTTTCCATGACATACAAATCATGTATGCTTGTGTGAACTGCTGCTATGTACATGAGATATGGTCAAAAAATAAGATTTATATACTTGAAAGCACACTTGTACAAAAACAATTGTACATCCAATTCCTTCCTTCATCTCTACCACCTTAAATCTCCTTCTCATCACCTTCCTGTTTCTTAAGCATTTCTCCAAAGCCCTCTTCTCTTTCAAATGAGTTGACTCTCCCTTTCTCCTCCCAGCAAGGCTACCATTCCTTAGCATGACTATCCCTCTTGCAGTTGCCTACCATTACATCACATCTTCCCTACTTCCTTTCTGTCTTCTCTTCCTTCCTCCTCCATCATATTCTCAGCATACTGTTCTCCTCCCCCTATACCTACTCACAGTTCCTTCTGCATAATTCTTAAGGTTTTGCTTGGCTGCAAACAGGGGCTGCCATGACAAGACTGGGCTCCCACCATACAGAGAGAGAGAGAGAGAGAGAGAGAGAGAGAGAGAGAGAGAGAGAGAGACTGCAGCATGGATCTAATTCATCTTCACATCTTCAATGGATGTCATGTGATAAACCATATGTGCCACACTAATTACATAGATACATTAAAGTGACCCAGAGATATTATCTTGGGTGTCATAACACACACACACACACACACACACACACACACACACACACACAATACACAAAATATTCTAGCCATACTGGGAATGAAACAATTGATGATACATAATAATTACATGATTATGAAGCATAAGTAGTTTAAATCTGCTCGTAGTATTTTGCTCTGAAAATTTATGAAGAGTTCCATGTCAGTGACTGGAAATTATGCAGGCTGAGTCTTTTGTCAGTCACATTAACTTTTAAAACCTGTTGGAACAAAACAAACAAGAATTTATTGAGTATTTGTTGTCTAAATTTTCCTATGCACAAATGAACAGGGTGCGAATCATTGAGCCACATGGCCTTGATGCCAACTACTGTTTTATTTTCAGGTGCAGAGGGTGTTTCCTAATCCTTGGAGTAGAATGATTGTTCTGTGATAGGGATGGGCTCTCAAGGATTCAGTTCCCAACCACTGAGAACCAGTGCACAGGCCACTGAAAAGGGTGCCCTGCCTTCCTCTCTTCTGGAGTGCTGCTAGCTCTCCCTTCACCCCATCTTCTGTTGTCTCCTCACAGTGCTCACCCACGGCCTGGGAAGTCTAATGCTGTATCCTCACAGCGCTCACCCACGGCCTGGGCAGTCTAATGTCTCCTCACAGTGCTCACCCACGGCCTGGGCAGTCTAATGCTGTCTCCTCCCAGCGCTCACCCACAGCCTGGGCAGTCTAATGTCTCCTCACAGCGCTCACCCACAGCCTGGGCAGTCTAATGTCTCCTCATAGTGCTCATCCACGGCCTGGGCAGTCTAATGTCTCCTCACCCATTGCCTGCGAAGTCTAACATTCATGCTTCTTATAGGCAAACACTTTTCAGAGGCCTCACCAATGACAAAGTTTTAACTGTAAATAAATTGATTCACAACAGAATAGGGCAAAGTCCTTTAAGAGGTCTTTTTAAAAGTGGTTGACAAGATAAAGGAGATGTTTTAAAATTATAAAACTGAAGAAAAACTTTTCTCAAGCCTAGAAATCAGAAAGTGTTCACATTTAGTACATGCACACAAAGACAGAGAGAGAGAGAGAGAGAGAGAGAGAGAGAGAGAGAGAGAGAGAGAGAGAATCATAGGAAGAAGAAGTGCTCCCATTTACCACAGTGTGGCAAGTGTTGGGACCAAAATATTATATGAATCCTAAGGTTCTAATTTTAACTTGGACAGGATGAGAGCATGCTTGTAATCAACAATTCTCAAATTACTGCAAGCTGGGCACACATCATGGCGTGATTGTTGTCTACACAAATGGGAACATCATTGCTAACACTGGTGCTGTGAATGTATAGACTGCAAGCCATCCAAAGAATGTTTCAGGAAGGAACGAGTAATAAGATCAAGCAAAAACTGGGTTAAAAACTTATCTGTGTTTAGTGGATTGAGACAAAACATCAGACAAAAGTATAAAAATATTTTTCCACTCTTAAAATCATTTTATTTTACTCTATGTAGAATATAAATTAATTGAAAATATTTTAAAGTGAGCATTTTATCATATCTAGCAGTATTAGATTTTAGCATTGGACTTCATAATTTATTTTATTTGTTACACCAGGAGCAGACAGCTTGGTACAGCCTGCAGGTAGCATTTTGTGTGTGATCAAATATTTGCACTGAGGCTCAGTCTGTACAGTGCTTGCACAACATTCACAGAGCCCTGGATTTGATCCCTAGAATTTTTAATCTATGGAGCACTTTCTTGATTAATGATTAATGGAAGAGGATCCATCCCATTATAGGCAGTGCCACACCTTGGAAGGTGGTTACAAGTTGCATAAAAAAGCAGACTGAGTCAGCCAGGAGGAACAAGCCAGTAAATAGCATTCCTCCATGGCCTCTTTATCAGTTCCTGGCTCTATGTTCCTGCCTTGAGTTTCTGCCTTCCCTTTATGATGGAACATGACCTGAGAATTGTGTACTGAAAGAAACCCTTTCCTAAGCAAGTTTTGTTTGGTCATTGTGTTTTGTCACAACAGTAGAAACCCTAACTAAGACACTATATTTCCCAGACACAGTAGGATTGTGTACATGAACTCACAGATATTGTGACAACATGCATAAGACCTGTGCATGCTTAAGGCAGACAAAATCTCAGTGTGGAGAAGAAAGAGAAGGCATGAAGTCCCATGCTGGCATTTGGTTGCTACTTGGAAAGGAAAAGTCAATTTTCTTCAATGCTATGACACTGGGTCAGGCTCAACGCCTAGGGGTAGTTGGCCAAAACAAACTGGACTAAATGTGTTTAAATAAGAAGAGTGAGAAAGAGAACATGAAGTTGGATGTTTAGGGAGGTAGAGGAGGATCTGGGAGGAGTTGGGACAGGGCATGAACATGAACATTATCAAAATGCTAAGTTTACCATGTTCCAATGGAAAGCCACATGCTCAAGAAAATATAGGAAGTACACATTGAGAGAGATATGTAGGTACATACATATATACACACATTCATTCATACATACATATACACATAACATATACATACATGCGTACATACACACAGACATACATGCATACATACATTGATGCATAGATAGGACACAAAAGTTGGATGAGTAGGGAAGGATAGGTGGATCTGAAAAAAGTTGGGGAAGGAGTTAATAGTATGAAATTCTCAAAGAACCAATTACAAATGATACCAGTCTCCAACTCATGATGTTAAGATATTTTAAATACATATTTATGTTCAAATTTACTCTGATACAGAATCATTGTGTTTCTCTACCTAACATTTCCCCCTGTAATATCCCTTAAAATATTGAGATAAAACTCTAAAGGTGTGGAAATTACTAAGAGCTTCCAATAAATTTAAATAGAAAAAAAATGAGTGAGAGCAAAGAGTTGTTTTATATTTGTTGTTGTTCCCTCTCTATGGTACTGTAAGTAGTGGACCAACTCTTCTTAGGGTCAGGATAGTGCCTGACATTGTATGAAATAGAGTAGTTCAAGCTGTTTGAGAATTTGGTTTCTGAGCCAGAACAAGAGACAAGTGTCACTTAGGTTTTAAGACAAGATATTAGATATAGAAAGTAAGCAATCAGATTTTCAACTCCGTATGATAAACCATGGATTTTGCTTTATCTCCACTCTGCCCACAGATGAGACTAAACACCGTGGCTGCCTGGGGGAGGGGAGACTGTTGTACAAAGCATTTGAGGGCTGAAAAAGACCATTGGACTTTCCAGTAGTTACAAACCTGAGTTGTGCTGTTGTAGTCATAGGGGACTGATTCAATCAATCTGCTCCCAGTGATGATGCTCACGCTGGTAATGGAAACACTGCTCAATCCCCAGATTTCAATGTAGCCTAGGTTCAAAGGTGCTGTACCAGTGATGTAATTATTAAAAATAACATGTGTCTGCAATGTATTCTGTCAAATTGAAAATAAAACAGAAAGAAACAAATATCAAATTTAGTTCAATTTTGTTCTCAACTTTGTTTTAGGCATAGATGTAAATCACGAATTGAGACAGCCTGAGTCCATATATTATGTTTTCAGATAGTAAAAACCATGACCTCAGCACCCTCTCCCCAGCTGCCCTATCCCATCCACTTTGCATGAGCCACCATCAGCCTGGTCTGTAGGATGGCCTTGAACTCTGTAAGTTACAAGTCTCAAGTATCAAGAAATGTATATTCTACACATGAAAGGTCACAACATGTGCAGAATATTTAAAAGTAGCATAGGAAAGATGGCTAGATTACACAGAAAGATTATCCACCTGAAAAATGGTACACTGAAACAGTTACTAATTAGACATGGATAGGGTCAATCAAAAACATTTCCTGGGAACATAGGAAATCCTGTCCACCTAAGGTCTGGAGGAAAAGAAAGACAAGCACTGAAGAAATTCTAGGAAGTACATACATAGAACCCTTACAAAAGCCAATATCCTGCCAAGAGAGCAGAAATCTATATTCTCTTTAGAGTGTCTGTCACACTCACCTGGCTAACAGAGAACCTGGCCAAGTAGGATCGTTCTGTGATATCTGCAAACAGACAAAAGGGCAGGTGTGAGCTGGGTCTGTGATAGGCTTCTAATTGCTGATTTGTCTTAGCTGAGAGTGAGGCTATTCTCGTTTTGTTTTTCTCCATTACAATGAGTTCCATTTTGTAGTGGAAGTTCTCCCTATGCTAATTAGTCAGGTTCTACACCCATCCCCAAATGGATACAAATGTTTTAAATGAGCATGTAAATGCACTTGTCCAACAGCTACCACATATAAAAATCACCTACCACTGCCTTAGGTCACTTTTTCTCACAGTTTACTAGTCCCAACCTCTCCCCATTCACCTCAGAATTTCCAGATTCTTTTTGCTTAGAAGCACACATCTACACATGTAAACACACTGTGGCTGCTGTGTTGCTTTATCTTGAGTGGTAATGGGTGGTTTTAAATGTGATCTCCACAAAAATGTTTTAAAAAACTGTGGCGTTTGGCAGCGTGGTGGGCAGAAAAAGCAGCTTGCTGGTGACCAGCTCCTCTCAGGGCTTCCTCTGCCTTTGCAGTGCGATCTCTTCCTCACTTACTTCCCCATTCCTCCTGGAACCACTGGCTTCTAAAACTGTGCTGCCCACAGCAGAAGGTACCACAAAAATTAGCTATGTAAATTTAAATGAATATCAATTAAATAAAACAAACTTCAGTTTGTCAGATGCCCTTGTGATATTTGAGTGTTCACTGGAACCTGTACCTACAGCTGTGTTGAGCTAAAGAAGCTCTTTGTGGCTGAAAGTTCTACTGTGTAGTAAAGAGTACTTATGTCTTTCACCTCCTAAGAGGTTACCAGCTCCCATAAACTCCTGATGGAAAGTCCCCCACATAAACAACACATGTAGTACTGTCTTGTTGGGACAACTAATCATGTAGTTGGGGAATGTGTATAAATATCATGATAGTTTATCTCAGCTGAAAGCCAGGAATTTAAGATAATCGAGAACCTTGCTCATGGTGTGGTCAGGAATCCCAGCCAGCCCCTACTCACTGATGCTTTTCCCATCATCCCAGAAGAGCCAGCCCTCAGCAAGTCCTTCATCATTCAAGGCAACCTTGAGGCCCATTGACTTCTCACGGCTGTGGTGGAGAGGGAGAGAGGCATTAGCTAAAAACACAGTCACAGTCACAAGCCCACAGGTTTCCCAGGAACAACGGAGTAAAATGAAGTGCTTCCTGTGGGTTAGAGTGGGTTCTCCTACAAGAAAATGTTGAGAACTGGCTCTATGTGCATGCAGAAAAGGCTGGACCACTGCATGTCCTAAGTGAATGACTTCACCAAAGCATCAAGGGGAATTTTCCAGTAGGGCTCTTAAATTAAAAGCACATAACTGGCTTCCTTCTTTCCCCTTTTCTGAAGCTGTAAACCTCTTTCATGACCCATGGCCTAAAACACTCAGAGGACAAATGGGTAAAGTTTTGAGGCATTATGTCAGGCCCACATGGAATCCCATATTCTTCCCGGGCCAGTGACTCAGTGAATCATATAGCTCAATAAATCCTCCACTTCCTTATCTGTGGAATGGAGATGATGGCAACACCACCTCAAGCGATTTCATTTCTCTTTGATTAAGAAAAATAGGAAATCATAAAACATAGCTCTTAATACTGGCATAGTATCCTAAGCATACAGCAAGCATTTGCTTGATATTAATGATTGAATAACATATAAACTTAGGGCAAGAGCTCTTAAATATTTTCAAGGTAAAGCAACTTCAGGCATCAATTGTCACATGGTTAAATTTTTCCAGCAATCATTTATTCTTAAGGAAAAAAATGGAAGATTCCAAAAATATGAATTATGACTACCCCATTTTAATTTCTATTATAAATGTCACTTATTACACCTGCAATTTCACACACTTTGATTTAAACAACTGATGAAAATTGTTGAGAGTTCAGAGTTTTTCAAAAGTTTAAATACAAGAACACAAAAAATAAATCCAGTGAAAATAGTTTCAGACTTCAGAGTGATACTCAAGAGATGAGGAGCCTTCTCCACACATGGTTAAGCTCACTACTATGCAAAACAGAACCCCATTTCCCCCCATTCACCTCAAATGGGTATTCATGGCAGGTTCCTGCCAGGGCAGAATGTAGCCCCCACGGATGTGAAGATTAATGTGATCAAGAGGGGCTGGCAAGTTCTTCCATTGTCCCCTTGCATTAATATCTACACCCTGTGGGGAAAAGAGAGGAGATGATGAGAGAGATGCACATATCACTGAGCAGTGCATTTAGCAGACATCCCAACCACCTCCTGGACTTGTCTCTTGGCTCCCACTATTCAATACATACCAGCTATACACTCTACATTCACCTGCTCCATAGAAAACATCCAGAAGACTTTATCTTTGAATCTGACTTGCTATGCTGTGCTTTTTCCCTACTCGGGCTGGTTCAGCCCTGGTGATCCTCTGCTCCAAGAGGATCACCATACTGGTATCAAATTTCATGAGGACATTCAATTGGTATAGCATACAACACCCCAGAGTTGATGGACTCAAGCAATCCCCCTGCCTCAGCCTCCCTAGAAGCTAGGACAGCAGGCTTGGGCCATAGTGCTCAGCAGTCTGGTCCTGTCCTTTTTTGATGTTGAGCAACATTGTTTCTGCCCACTAGAGGACAGTAGCACCCTATGTCTGGACTCCACAGTGTGCTCCCATAAAGGTTTTGAAAGGCAAATATTAGCTCATCATTACATTGTTAACCCCAAACGGAAAAGCCCCCGCCATTCCAATACCTAGAACTCAGCAGAGAGTTTTGCACCTGAGCAAGGCTAGGACTCCAACCAAGATGCCTAGGGTGCAGACCTGAAGGCGGTCCACACTCTCAAGTCCAAGAAACAGCAGGTTCATCCTTCCAGTGAGGGCCCTCCTTAAGCTACGTACCCCGAGTGTCTCCCTGCTTTGCTCTAGTGAAAGCCCTGACAGATTCCAAAGGCCTGTTAAAGTACTGGACCGTCAACATGCCAATTCAAGACCATGTGAGGGCCACCCACCCTTAAGAGAAAGCAGCTAGCAACCAAGAAGAGGGAAATGACTCTGCTCCTAGGATGAAAAAACTCCTTTGTCCTTGTTCTGTTTTCACCCAGATCCATTGCACTGTCCTCGGAGGAGAGGCTAGTGCATTGCTTTGCTTCTGGTCTTCCTGCCTGTGCTCTGCTCAGAAAGTCCAAAGAGGTGGGCTAGAGGGAGGGCAAGGATGTCCCTTTCCTTTAATTCTTCCCTAAGAATTAAGCTCTGTTTCATATGTGTCCTTTGACAGATCACCTCTAAAATGTCTTCTCAAGACCTTTCTCTCTCAGCTTGTCTTCTATGACCACTATGGCCCAGATATCTGCAACAGAGAGCCCCTGTGGTTGCCTTTATAAGTGAACATGTGCTGTTTGGTTATGTATTTGAGGACGCACTTATTCAGTAATTATAGGAAGGAACCGTTCTTGAGTATCTATACCAGAAGTTCACAACCTGTGAGTCACAACCCCTTTGGGGGGACCAACACTTTCACACAGGTCACTTAAGGCCATTGGAAAACACAGATATTTATATTATAATTCATAACAGTGGCAAAACTACAGTTATAAAGTAGCAAAGAAAATAATTTTATGGTTGGGGTCACCACAACATGAGTAACTGTATTAAGGGGCTGAAGCATTAGGAAGGCTGAGAACCACTGACCTATACTATAGAAGCAGATATATACTAAAAGACAGAAGCAAACACTAATTTATGGCACAATTTGAAGGGTGACTAGTCACCGGAGTGGATAGTAAGGACATACAGAAAGATAAAATCCACATGTAAAAAACATGCAGTGAGCCAGGCACTGACTGAGAGGCTTGCCACTTCAGCTCTCTGGTCTCACCCCACTGGAAGATGAGAAAACAGAGGCCACAGGAAATATACGGCTTGTGCAGGACAACCAACCACACATGGTTTCCAGGGCTGTGCTGTGAGATCCATCAGATACAAAGACTTTGTACGCTACTGTTTGTCAGGCTATACAAACATTTAAAAAACTTACCGTGTAGTAGTCATACCAGCGGGCTCTGGGAAAATATGCATCTACAGTTCTGGCGTTCTGAAATTCAACACAAACAAGGTGTCAGTAGTGGAACTGTTGTCTAGGACGGAGGAGCCAATGCATGTGGGACAAAAGTGACAACAGTAGCGACAGCATGGAGTCTCACTATCCTGAGATCAGCAATGACAGGAGGCCACTTCTTCCTACTCTCTTTAACTGGAAGATTTCCTAATGGCCTCCATAATGCCCCTTGGGATGGGCAACTTGAATCACTCTTTCCTTACAAAAAAACACCCTACATTGTTTCTAGAGATACAAACACCCATGTTCGGCTATGGAGCAAAAGAAAAATTTCTAGGTATAGTAAGATATGGGGGATATTAAATAACTGGTCTTTAATCAGAGACCCAATCATTCTCAAAAGAAGTTTTTTAGCCGGGCGGTGGTGGCGCACGCCTTTAATCCCAGCACTCGGGAGGCAGAGACAGGCGGATCTCTGTGAGTTCGAGGCCAGCCTGGGCTACCAAGTGAGTTCCAGGAAAGGCGCAAAGCTACACAAGAGAAACCCTGTCTTGAAAAACCAAAAAAAAAAAAAAAAAAAAAAAAAAAAAAAAAAAAAAAAAAAAGAAGTTTTTTAAAAAAAAAGGACTTTAGCTGCTTACAGGACCCCTTACACAATGAAGCAGAGAGCTACCCAGCATCCGTGAGCTGACCACACTGCTGCAAAGCAGTTGGCCCAACAAACTTTCATGGTGAAAGGAATGACTCCTTGAGTTGAATTCTTTTGCTACAATCCCTACCTGACCCTAACCCCTTATACTAGTAAATAGGGGGAAGATTATGTCTTCAAATATAACACGAGGTTATTTATCTTCTTCACTACCCTATGAAGCAGAATAGAGAGGATAACTTTAGAGAGAGACAATCTAAAGGCAGCCACTTAAGTGGTTAATTTTGCTGAGAAAGTTACTAGAATTTAGGGCTGGTTCATCAGAGTTCTGAGAACAACTGGCAGAGGAGGGGTGGGTGGAGAGAAAAGTATTTGTTACAGTTTTGTCCGTAACTGGGGACGGAGAATTTTCTGTCTCCATCTTGCCCATATCAGTAGGGCAATGTAAAGAAAAATAAAACACATGTGAGGAAACACTCATCTGAGGACTCAGCTTTGAGTCCAAGTTATCAGAACCAAGAGGTAGAGCTTTCTACTATAAGAGGATCTAGTGTTCTAGCCCCAGGGTATCATGGGTAGCCTGGCGTCATCTCAATTACCAGTAGAATTTTTAATGTTTCTTGGCCCAATTACAAGAAGAAGAAAAAAGTTGGAAAGAGATATATTTCAGGATCCCCCAAACACAGGCCTTCTCCTTTCCATGTTTTCCCAGCCTAACAGCCAGGGTCCTCCTACCCATCCTCCTACCCTGAGGCCTCCATACTCACAGGCTCTAGTACAGGGCTGACCAGGAAGGCTGGACCCAGCAGGAACTGTTTGTCTATATTCCAGGTCTCATGGTCTGACACAAACCTAAAAAGGGAAATTGAGGTGTTACAATCAGATCCCAATGAGCATAAGACCCTGAAAAAAATCCTCAAGTCCGGACTCAAACCAGAAATGCAGCTGAATCCTGCATTGTCGTATTCTCTCTAGTTTGATGAGATCATATAAACCACACTCCCTACAAGTCACTTCTCTCAAACTTCAGAAGGTGTTTAGGCATGTTGACTCCATAAAATATATCCATTCTCTTTCACCATAGCACATTTTAAATATGAGGATGGCCCTCATCCCTCAAATTCCCCCCTTGGAACACCTACTTTAATGATGTTAACACATTTTGGTCTGGGTCTATATAAAAGATCTATGCAAAAGATTAGGTCTTTGCATGTCCAAATAAGGAAGAAACTGTGGTATTTTATTTTGTATCACTTAAAAACTTCTTTTGTTAAAAAAAAAAGAAAACCTTCCATCCAAGATCTGAGGTGTGTATAAAATTTAGTTACAAGGGAGAAGAAAATATGCTCTCCACTTGGAGAGCTCAGAACAAAAAGGACTGAAGCCTTCACTGTGAAAGAATTGTTGCGTCAACTCCCACCCTGCAGATTGAATGAGTTATCCATGGGTCAACAGGACTCCAGCTCAACACTCACTCATGGAGAAGAGGCCGCACAACTGTGCTGCCCTCCATGTGGGCCTTGTACATCAAGGTGTAGAGATATGGCAGCAGGGTGTATCTGGTCTCTAGCACACTTCTGGAAATATTCTCAAAGGTTTCATCCCAGGACACAGGGTCTTGTCTCTACAAGAAAAGAAGAAGAGTGTTCAGAACCCAGCTATACCTACCTCTCAATGGACTCATGGTCACTGAAAGCTTATCACAAATGTTTCTACACAACTGGATAAAAACAACGGTGCATGAGATTTTAAGGATATTCTTAGCAGTTGGAAAACAGCCACAGCTTTCTTGGGAAAATGATTTCATAAGATATTCTTTATGGGACATATGGGAAAATGTTTCCTAAATATAAATAATCAACAAAACAATACTGAAGGATTTGGTTCATAGAGAAGAGGACTTAATGGTTTTATGGTTGTCCCCAGGGAACACACACAGAAGAAGTGCACTCAGTAACTGAGGTAGCATTTCCAGTGACATAATATAGATGAGGAAGCTGACATCCTACCCTGGTCCCAATGGTGTTGTGGTTCCTGGAGAAGGGGTAAAATGCACCCAGCTGCATCCAGCGCACACACATCTCATACTCAGCATCTTGAAAGAACCCACAGATGTCTGACCCGGTCTGAAACAACAAGGAACAAAGTGAGCTCTGGGAGCTCTCTGAGAGATGAGGCCACCTTCCTAGGGAGGAGGAGCATGCAAGGACACTTACATAGGAGATGCCAAAGAGACTGAACTCCATCATGCCTGCAAGGAGAGATGCAGCAGGGTCAGGACAGGCACTCATTCTCTGCCTGCTCCTCCCCCTTCACCAAGGACCCTACTCCCCTCTCCACCCACAGCCAGCAGAGGCCCCTGGGCACAACCACACACCAATGATGGATTTCCCCAGCTGGTCCCAGGCAGCTGTGTTGTCCCCCAGCCAGTGTCCTGCCCAGCGTCCAGAAGAGGGGAATGTGGAGCGGGTGATGACGACCCCTCTCTCTCCTGTCACCTCCTGTACAGCTCTGGTGGGGAAAATAGGGAGGTAAGTTGAAGTCAGAGCAGAGGAAGGCCCAGAACTTGTTCTCTTGAACCCTAGAGTTTAGGGTCCTGCTGGCCAATAGAGACAATAATACTGATGCCTTTTCATAGTCATCAGCCAACAACTTCATCACGTGGTAAAACAATTGCACTGTTTCCAAGTGTTAAACTAATACAAGATCTATTTATTCATTTAACGTTGGCTTTCTATACTTCTGAGCTAGTGGGTAAATTCCTTTACTAGATTGCAATTGTTTAAGTTGTATTATTCATTGACGTCACCAAATGAGACTATGTTAACTCACTAGACTATCACAGATCATACAACAAAAATGGCTAAAAATATCAGACATGATTTACTTTTAGAATAAAATAGATTATAGCACCCTGTTTTGATTTTGCCTCTTATAATTAATACTATCACATCCAACTGCATTGTGTAATAATTGTTTCTCTCTGTGTGCATGTGCTCCTCAAAAGGACTATTAATTTCTCAATGATAGGACACTGACATATTTAAATCTGTCATCCCAGTCATAATCAAAGAACTGTCACCATGCTCCTGTACTCTTTAGTTAAGAAGTAAGGCTCTAGACCAGTGGTTCTCAAACTGTGTGTCATGGCCCTTTCACAGCAGTCACCTAAAACCATCGGACATATCAGATATTTACATTGCAATTCATAACAGTTACAAAATTACAGTTATAAAGTAGCAATGGAAATAAATTTTTGGCTGAGGTCATTACAATATGAAGAACTATATTAAAGGGTCACACCATTAGGAAGGTTGAGAACCACTGGTTTAGATGAGTAATCCCTGAATTATTCTTAATCTTCAGAATGGAAAATGGAAGGAAATACTAGGAAGTTACACCAATGACTGGCCATCCCCACTGATAATGTCAACTACAGAAAAGTGTGCCACTCACTCGTAGGTGGGTCTGGTCTGGGACCACCCATACAGGCTGTGCACATCATAATGCCGCACCCGAGAGTCATCTGGAAGAATCTGCTCACTCTCCATGCACAGTGTCTTGCTGCTCAGGCCCCTGTCCCTGGCTTCCAAATCTGAGGGAGGATTCAAGAGTGAAAGGCCGCTCTGATTCTCCTCATTGTTGCCTCTTTTCTATATTCTAAAATCTGTATCATAAGACTAGCAGGACCTCTCCTGGGCTGTCTTTTTCCCTGGGAGCATGAGAACAGTGCTTAGCACTGAACGTTAACATTCCTGGGGTGTTTTCAACACCAAGTCCACTGGACAAACTGGTGGTTTGGGAAAGAGCCCAAGTTATCACACACTTACTATGGGACAAGCCCTGAACTAGACTTGAATGTACAAATCATTTCCTATAATTCCTGTAAAAGAGTATATCCCCAATATAGGGTTTTCAGAATTTTTGCATAGAAAATTGAGGTTTGGAAACATCACATAACCTAAGGAATATCACACAACTCATAGTACAATTTATAGGATCCATATATAAATAATATAACTCTAAATTTCATCAACTCCCTGAAAATGGGAAGCCCCTATTTTATACCCACTGACAGCAAATATGTTTCTATAGATAAATTAACATATGTCTGAAGAACTAACAAATTTATCTGTGAGAATCCTTTGCAGATACTAGCACTATTGGATTATTAAAATTTACCCAGAGGTCATGGTTCTTGCACATACACACATCTGGATAAAGTGCTTGATGAGCAGAATCAATGAGGACCTGCCCTTGCTAGTGAAAGTAACTGCTAGCTGCTGGGCTCCAGCAGAGGTCATGTATCCAGCCATTGCTCAGCAAGTACACAAAACTCAGGGTTCTTACGTGGCATGTAGGGTGGACGGTTCAGGGTAGCATTGCTGCAGCCAGAAGGAACTGCCCCATTCACAAAGCTGGAAGGTTCATTCATATCCTACAAGTGTCAGATATGTAGTTTACTCATAAAGATACTTAAATTCTGTCAGAGACAAGGAAGTAATGAATAAAGCAGCCAACCTCTAGTGATCCTTATACATGCTTCCCTAAGAAAACCATCATTCTCTGGGGTGGGGGGATTAGAAAGAGCAATTTAACCCTCCAGGTCAAGCAAGCTTCCAAGGCATTTCCAGCAATCACCCCAGAATCTTTGCAGTAGGCATTTCAGAGGTCCTAAGGACTAAGTGGGATCAGAGCTGCTCTATTCTCTGTCAGAGGGAGCCCAGGATGGCACCACAGTCTTCCTGAATGGTTATCATCCTCTGGACTACTCCAAAACCACTACCATTCACATACACACTCACAACTATCTATGTGTACACAAACATACACACACTTACAATCCATAGGCCATCAAACTTCAAGCTCTTTTTTGGATCCTGTGGGTTGGTGTAGAGTTCTTCAATCTCCTTCTTCCACCACGTGGCAGTGGAATTACGGAAAAAGTCTGGGAAGGCCACATAAGCTCGATATTTCTGTAAAAATAACAAAATTCACCTGTCACAAATGAACACAATCGATAGCAGATATTTCCTGAGAATGTAACTCAAGTAAACCTTTGTACTATGTGGTGGTAGACAGTGGTAGCCTGAATAATATGTTCTTGGCTTATTTTAGAAACATTAAGTGCAGAGATAAATAAGCACACCAAATTATACACCCTCCTTTCCCAGTATTTGTAAAGTATCCACAGACTGCTTTTTTTCATGTTATCCCTCTGAACTCACTATTTCATGCTATAGATGCCCAGTCCTTAAATGCATCCCCATTTCCATTTCATGCTGTAGATACCCATTCTATTTCAAGAAATCCATGAGCGGTATGCTATGAATATGTGTGGCTCCCATTGGATAATAATAAAGCTGCATTGGCCTGTGGCAGGGCAGGATGGAACCAGGCAGGAAAATCCAAGCAGAGATACAGAAAGAAGAAGGGCAGAGTTGGGAGAGAGGCCAGCTGCCCCAGAAGTAGCAACAAGGTACCAGCAGACTGGTAATGGCATAGCTGCATGGCAGCATAGATTAATAGGAATGGGTTGATTTAAGATGAAAGAGCTAGCTAGCCAGAAGCTGAAGCCATAGGCCATACAGTTTGTAATTAATAAAAGCCTCTGAGTGATTATTTTATAAGCAGCTGTGGGACTGTAGGTGAGAGAGATTTGTCTGGACTGTGGGGCCCAACGGGACTGAGAAGCATTCTGGCTACACTAGTCATCAAGTGTGCCCCCATTTCCATTTCTTGCTGTACATTCCCAGTCCTCAAGTGCACCCCCATTTCTATTTCATGATGTACATTCCCAGTCCTCAAGTGAACCCCCATTTCCATTTCATGATGTATATTCCCAGTCCTCAAGTGCACCCCTATTTCCTAATAACTCTCCAGAGACAAGGAAGGAGCCAGTGAGAATCTGTAGGTGGCAAGTCAATTTTCTGGTATGAAGTGCCAGATTGGAAAAAAAGGAAAGACTGGTCCCTGGGAATGAGGAGGTAAGAATTCATGGTATCAGACTAACTTCTATGTATCACTGTTATCCATGATTCCAAAGAACACATAAAAACCCCAACTTTATGCTAATCAGAGTAAGAAGACTTAAGGAGGAAGCTCCCCGCTCCCTTACTCTTTATCAGCTCTCACATAATAAAAGCAATATTTATATTGAAATTGGATCCAGGGTATCACTCTTCATTTGCATTGAGAACTTTAGAGAGCTAGAACTTCAGCAAGTATTTTTAGACTGATCTTTACATTCCTTATCATAATTATCTTAGAAGCTGAGAAGTAATTTTTTTAATGATTATAAATTCTCATTAATTATATGTGCATTGATGCCACTCATAAACAGCAAATATCCATAAAAGCTTATATATCCTTCTGTGTTGTTTGTTATGGGACGTTATGGCCTTTGGTATGTTTCAATTAATGGTCTCCCCTATGTTATTCATTGTGTTACAAGAGTCAAAGAGCTAAGAATCAGGGAGCCAACGGTGAGAGGGTGGGAAAAACAAGTGGAAAGCTTGGTCTGGAGGCTAAGGCTATGTAGGGTTCAATGTCTAGACAGAACACGAAACAGAGATGCACAGAAGAAAACAGCACAGGAGCAGGACTCAGAGGTCTGACTTGAGGAGGCAAGGGGGAGCAAGATGCCATTGCACTGGGAAACTTGAGGAGTGGCTTTCTGCTGTGGCTTTTTGTGAGGAAATGATGCTAGACAAAGAATCTTCACATGACAAACAAGAGCTCAAACTCAGATTGGTGACATACATGCCATGTAGAGGGGGAGAGGAGAGGGAATAGGAATAAATAGGAATTATCAGCTATGTCTGAGCCAAAATTCTATCCCTTATGGGATACAAGTGGGAAAGTAGGCTGTCTGTTTTTTTTTTTAAATCTCACTATGTACAGTGAGATCATATTTGATCATTCTCACCTGTGTACTTAGAAAACAACCTACCATTGTCCAAAGAGCTAGCTCTGCTTTATTGTTTCTATTGCCAACTCTTACCAGATAACACCAGTTCTCCCTTGACTGGGTCTTCAGTTTCTGACGTCATGAATCTATCTGTGTGACTGACCCTATGATTGCTTACCACATTCCATGCAAGACACCAAAATGTATTTCCTGGATCCAGTTCTACATTTAAGCATTAAATGTTTGGGCCTCAATGTCGCAAGCCTTCTGTCCATAGGCTTCTTAGCTGTTTTGTTTGTTTATTTTTTCCCTTTTATTTTATTTTACAATACCATTCAGTTCTACATATCAGACACGGATTCCCTTGTTCTCCCCCCTCCCGCCCCCCTCCCCTTCCCCCCAGGACACCCCCCATTTCCACCTCCTCCAGGGCAAAGCCTCCCCTGAGGACTGAGATCGACCTGGTAGACTCAGTCCAGGCAGGTCCAGTCCCCTCCTTGCAGATTGAGCCAAGCGTCCCTGCATAAGCCCCAGGTTTCAAACAGCCAACTTATGCAATGAGCACAGGACCAGGTACCACTGCCTAGATGCCTCCCAAACAGATCAAGCCAATCAACTGTCTCACCTATTCAGAGGGCCTGATCCAGTTGGGGGCCCCTCAGCCTT